AAAAAAAGATCAGTCGACAAGCAGTCTGAATTAGGAAAACAAATCGGAATTGCTTGAAATTGGCTGAATAATGGGGGTAACTAATAATACTCCGTCAAAATTATGCATCTATTGCACTCACTACTCACCGTGAGTTTGCGCTACTTGGAAGTGCTGAATGTTGATGTTCTCTATGTCCCACAAGGGTAGAGGTGCAGTTACTGTATCACCGATGGCGTAGACAAAATCTGCACTTGTCTAAAAATTTCTAATTTCATGATCAGAAGTCATTCAGGATACAGTATGAGCAGTCAGCTGAAGCAAATGGAATGCTTACTCTGAATCGATCATCTACTATGATGAATCCTCGATCATCCAGTTCAATACGAGTACCTTTCAACCATTCCGTCGGTGGCATGATTCCTACAATTTTGTAAAGTGATTAGTCGGGAGAATTTCTAAATCTTGGTTCTGCTGGTTGGTTTGAGCTCTAAGCAAAAAACCAACCTATTCCAACGACAACCATGTCTGCGGGAAGTTTTTCACCCGAAGTGAGAACAACACCAGTGACACCATCGTCTGTGCCTTCCAATTTCTCGACATTGGATTTCACCAGGACATGTACACCCTTTTCTTCGAATCGCTGGATTTCAAAAAGTCTGGTCATTCTCTGTCAGTTGAGATATGGAAAATTTACATTTCTAATGACGCAGCCTATGTCAGGACCCAGTTGCGGTAGCGGCTCATCAGTAGTGCAGACCACAGTCACCGATGCGGCCGTTTTTGAAAGGGCCGACGCCAATTCCATGCCTGAAATTGGCTTTCGAGAAAAAAGATTTTCTTGAAAATAAGTTAAAACCTATAAATGATCCGCCGATGCACACCACATTCTTTCCAGTAGATTCTGCAGCGATCTTGTTTGCATTAGAGATGTAGCGTAAGGTGTAGACATTCTAAAATGCTTAACTCCTTCACCTCTCTCGTTTTATCAACACTGAGAGCAAAATTCGTAAAAATCAAACCTTCAGATCTGCACCAGGACAGCTGAGTTTCTTTGGCAGACCGCCCAAGGCTAGCACTAGCCTACTGAACTGCATACTGTCTCCCGAGCCCAGATTTATTTTACGGTGAGAGAGATCTACACCAGTGACCTGCAATTGTTTTCCAATGTTGTAATAGTTCTCAAATATAACTTTGATGAAATTGCCTACCTTGACATTCGTGATCACATCGATGAAATTCTCCTTATAGTAGTCATCGCTTCGCATTCGTGCATCCTTCACGTCTGTAGTTGGTTTCTGCAGTAGAAAAACTTTGAGAATTTTTCCTTGGATAGTATTAAATTCGTTGATTTTAAAGGGCTGCTTACCTTACTGAGTAGAGGTCTATCATATGGTGGTGTGTCATCTTCAGTGATCATTGTGATTGGTGTGGCACAACCAAGCAGTCTTGCATGTTCAGCAAATGCTTCGGCACCAACTCCTAAAATGAATGAGATGAAATAA